AATGTGTGATGGTATACCCACACGAATTCGATGTTTTAAACGATATTTAGCGGAATTATCACCATTTTTTACCCAATTTTTTCCCAAATTTTTTTTCTATTTTTTGTGTGTGTCTGTGTCAGTTCACACGATAAGTTGTCGAAATAATACTACGATTATCAACTTCAGTAGCTTTTCCGATTGAAAAGCGAATATAGTTGGTGCATTGGGGAGATCAAATTTCCCAGTAGTTTTCAGAAGTACTAGGAAAAACAGAAAAAAAAATTAAAGAAAAACGGGAATTTTAACGCAAAATTAGTTTTTGAGAAAATCGAATTTTGATATTGGTGTAACTCTAAAAAAAATTACCATAGACACATTTAATTTTCATTGAATGTTTAAACTAGCATTTTATACACTTAATAAAATTTTCGATATTTTTATTATTTTTTTTTCTATAGATGACAGTAAAATTTTATTCGTTAGGTAAAAATGCTTTAAAATTAAATACAAGGCTCCTAATATATTGTTAAAACGACAGTTAAAAAATGTTAAAAGTACATACACAATATTTTTTTAATTAACATTAATATTCGAATTTTGACAAAATACGTAAAAATCACGAAAAGTTGCAATTTATTTTGACTTAGAAATTCATAAAAAATTATCTTTCTAAAGGTTTGAAAATGCAATGCAAGATCCTTGATGCGTTTTTCTACTTTTATCAAATAAATAATTCATACCGGAAAGTCAAATTAAATTTTTATGAGCATTTAAATTACAACATTAGATATTCACTAAATTTCTCTTGTACCGATATTCTATTTTGTTGTTATTCAAAAACGAATAATTGTAGAAACTTTAAATTTACACTAAATGTTAATCTTATCAATTCCTATACTTGAAACATTTTCAACAATTTTTAAGTTATTTATAGACATTTGAAATTTTTCGTTTTATAGTTTTTATTCTATAAATGTCGATAACATTGCTGCTTAAAAATAATTGAAAATTTTATACAAAGGTTCCCCATAGTTGATATCATAGACCTATTATACTAGTATAATAGGTCTATGGTTGATATAATAGCAATTGAAAAACATTAAAAATACATAACCTCGTTATCGGGTAGGGGGCATGGGGGGGGGAAGTTCTAGTTTCACGTTTTAATACATAACCAGATATCCTAAAAAATAGAAACATAGTAAAATTTACAGACTTAGGCACATACTCTTTAATAATAAATAATAAATACTAGTTTACAAATAGGTTAGGTTACATTGAAATTTTATAGGAACACTTATGGAAAAAAAGACTACTTCAAAGTTTCAAGTCAATTATAAATTGGATCTGATTTGTTCTTTAAAATTAGAACTTAGAAGTGGTCTTTTTTATTCTCTCCATAGTTTTCGTAGATAAATAATTTAATGTAAGCACAGTTTGAACAAAGCTCAGGTCAGAATCATTTTTCAGATGCAAAGATAAAATATGAATTCATATTTAAAAAAAATTCAAAATGTATCGACCTCCCTACCTATCTAATTAAATTGTAATAGCATTTTTAGTCACTTACTTTTAATACAAATAACTAAAATTACCTAACATTAATATTTCAGTTGGCCACAAAATAGAATCAATATAATTTTTTAATCTAACTTTTATCTTATTTATTCTAAGAAAGTATTTAAAATGTATAGATTAGTTGAAGTTTTATAATTTAAAAGTTGATCAATCATCTAATATTTATAACTCACCTTTTGTATAGCAGATCTTGAATCTCTCAGTGTCTTGTAGGCATCAATATTGGAATAATTTATTAAGTCACCTCCTGATTTCACTTTTCGAACCTTGAGACCATTTTCTTTTTCTAGATTTAAGTTTTCTTTTTGTAATGTTGATAACGTATTGGATGTTTTTAATTTATAGCCACGACCCCAAACTTCTTTAGGGGGTGGTATACTATAACCGGGAGATAATGGCTCTATCAATTCACTTTCAGTAAATTTTAACACATCTCTACTAGGTTTTGCCAATTTTAATATAATATTTGTTGCAGAATTATACTTATTTTCCATAACTTTATAATTGTATTGAAGTTGTTCTATAAGTCTATTTTTCTCCAATAATTGAATTTCAAGTTTTTTCAAATTACTTTTTAAATTTAAAATTTCTTCACTTTCAGTTTTAATCATTTCATCAACATATTTATTTACTTGCTGTTTTCTTGATGAAGGTTGTAAACTATATCTTGTAGCTTTACTTTTAGCTTCATTATCTTTAATATCCTTAATGTATTGTTTAACTTTACTTTCAACATGCGCATACTTCTTGTTAGTTTTACCAAATGAATTCAGACAACTATTAGAATTATGAATACCTGATTCTGTTCTGGTAGTCATGGCACTAGTTAATGTTTCTGTAGAATATATGGCTGAATCTTCTCGTATAAGTGGTTTGAATGATTTTATTTTTGTTAAATCAGCTAATGAATATGATTTTACTGGACCTTTGTAATTAATATATTTATTTGCTTTTTGTTTGGTAATGGGTATTCGAGTAGTTTCTGACTCTGATTCTGATGATGTAAACTCTACTGAACTTGTAGTTGATGTACTAAAACTGGTCAACAATGAAGGTAATGTGACATCTTCAATGAACACCGTATGAGAGTCGAATTCCAAATCCATTGTGGAACTATTTGTAAAAAAACAAAATAATATAAATAAATAAAACAAAGTACATAAGAACAAAATAAAATATTTTTAACAAGCATTTTCAATAATATGTACTTATATATTAAGACCTTTTTTGAAAAATTTGAACTTTTACCTTGGGCTACTTTTTAAGTACACAAACCTATTTATATGAATGTAAGTAATATGTAATTAAGATTTAAAATATAGCTTGAATAAAAACTTTTAACTTAAAAACCAATGATATATGGATAACCAATCTTATAAACAATGTTAACATTAATSCCTTAGGTTACCTACCAACTTAAAAAAATCAGTAAGCAGATCTACAGATACGAAATGAAAAACTTAAAACAAATTTTAAAATGCTAGTGCTTAGCTTAAGTTATTCACAAAATCTAAAAAAAAAAAATAAATATTTTTAACCTAAAGTAGTACCTGAGTAATTCAATTTGGAATACCAATATACACCAATCTACYTAAGTATCTAAAGCTAACTATATATAAGCTCAAACATACCAATAGCTACCAAACATCATTGACAAAATTAATAGTAAAAACTGTATAACAGGTATTTTGTCTTGATGTTACTTATAATAATAAATATATACTACAGGACAGTGCCATTTAGTTTATTACCTAATTAAACAAAATACCTCAACAATTTAAATACAGTTTATATTAATAAACTGTACAACTGACTGACAGCAGTTATTTTCATTATTAGGTGCTAAATTGAAAAATAGCATGTTTATTTTATGACGTCTTATTTAATTGTGTATTCTACTATATTATTAACAGTGGCCAAAAGTTAAAACTATATTTGTTCAAAGACCCTGAAACAATTTTATCCCATTGTAGTCACTGTGAAAATAAAATGATAGTAAACAACATGATTACAYACACATCTAACAATTTTATTTTTWTTGAACCTATTTATCTCATATTTATCTACATAAAATTAAATGTTTTTTCAAAAAATATAATCTTCCATCTACCTTATCCATTTTTAAAATAGGTAAATAGCTTCAACTGAAACTTTTTAAGTACCCCAAAACACCCTTTTTATTCACATTTTATACCTACTTTTTTTAACAATAATATAATTACTTAAAATTTTGAACTTTTTAAGAATGGTTAATAAATGCCAGCTTTACTAAAACTAGAGGTGCTAAAACTATTGACCTCTCTAAACCCTAGGGAAGTACATAGTCGACCTTGAAGGTGGAGATCCATTTTGAGGTTAATGTAGACCTGAGCTAACATAAAGAATAATCTAACCTATGGTTTTAAAACTATAATACTACCACTAATCCATTATCGACGTATGGTTTAAATAATCTAAAAAACTAATAATCTGTGCCAATTTTTGTTTGCACTATGGTTTTGAAAAAAGTATATAAAAATGAAAAAAAAATCCAAAATTTAAGGAGCACAATCAACTAGAAAATCTGTTTAAATACACCAGCATGGGAACATTTTACATGATTAATATATTAAATAAAATAAAAGTGAACAGTAGAGAGAATAATTCAGTATATTAAAAGTAGTTAGGTAAACCTACCATATTAAATATACATATTATTTTAGAAATAATAATTTAAAATTATATATAAACAGATAAAAAATATACCTATTATTTTTTGTTTTTACTTTTTGAATGACAACATACCTTGATTTTTAATTTCATATTCCAAAACAAGATATTTTTGGGATTAATGCATAAAAATAATTTAACTTTGAAACGAGTAGTCACTGAGTTATAACTTTCAAGTATTTCAAGTTTATATAAGTTGAATAAAGTGGCACAAGTATATCCTACAATATATTGATCCACTAACTCCATCTCATCTACTTAAATAATTTTAATAATTATAACTAATTAACTTCTCTAATAAATTCCATTTTTATGTATACAAATATTCGGAAAATATTCTTTACCGAGATGGGRAATTAAAAATGTTTGTTGTCATTGAAAAATTGTAATTCTCAAAATGTGATAACGATAAAAAAATTAAAAACACATTTTTTTTTTCTTTCAAAAAATTGAAATTTCAAAATTAGTCATGATTAGAGATTCGGTATATTACAGTAAACCCTCGAGTAAACCCGAAAAAGTGCGGGCAAAGATAACAGCTGTACTTACAACAATATTCTATAGAAAAAGAGTCATAATATCTCAAACAAAACACATTATAAAAATATAAACATTCAATTATATTGTTTGCACCAGGGCGAGCCACTGCGTAGGTTAAATCTAATCTGGACGGTACATTATATTATTATTACATGTTTCTGGCACCTACGAATCAAATTATCCCGCCAGAATATAGTCACGACTGTCTCTATATGAGCCAGTCACCCAGACCCAAATAACGATCGCAGACTCCTCGGAGTCACGGAGCCCAATGATTACCTGTATTTTATTTCACTGGATTCGCTGATTGACGGAGATCGACGTGAATTCGGATCAAGACACGGAATAATAAATAATAATATAATATAATTGTGACACGCTKAAACGGGATCAGAACGCGACTGGCGCAGTACAAAAATCGGACGACCGAAAATAGCCAAAGCAAAAACACGATGACGGATAATCGCGCACGAAAAAAAAAATTCGAAAACGGAACTAACGCGCTGGGCAGCGGGGATGAAACAATAACGATGCAATTCGTGCGAGCGCCGGTGATAAATAACAATAATATTATATTATGGTCGACGGATCGCGAAAAATACGCGCGCGCGACACCGTRCAGCCCTGACTAGTGGTGAATAGCGACTGACGTGCGTGGACGTACCAGCCGTCCCGTACGGTCGTTCTATTGCTATAATATTATACTACTACGACGCTACCTACGACCACGATGTTATTGTGTCGTCGATTGCCAATAAACCGCGCGGCGCGCGCCCGTCCCTGATCTCAACGTCGTCCCGCGTCCGTCTCACTCTCCATCTGTTTACGTAGCGAGTAGCGAGATCGGGTGGCGGCGCGCGCGCACGCTCGATCTGCGGGTGCAAACTGCAAAGGCGACGTCGCCATTTGTCGCGACGTTCCGGGAAGGGGAATTATGCTCAAACCATAATATGGCTCAAACTCCGCGACAAGACTTTAGACAATAAAAAGATCCTTTTTATAGGGTTGTATACGCGTAGAAAAAAAGAGATTAGAGGTTAAACATGTTTTGTTTGTACGTCTTGTGTAATATTATTCTAATTTGTCTCGGCATGGTTGTATGCGCACGACGCGACACGGCTACTATCTGAGCACTCGACATTCGAGTAGTCGACTTTACTTTATGCACCGATGATTCAATTATTGATGACTATTATAAATTATTAATATTGCTATGACATGGCGTGCTCTAGAGTGACTAGATGTATAGGTGGTCGATTATCGGTTAGGTTCTATTTTAAATACCTACGAAATTACTATTTACAATTTACTATAATATACTGATTTATTATTGGAGTAGAAATTGCACGAAAACGATAATATACCTAGAGATATCGTCGATATCGATATACATTATACAACAATGCCTAACGATAGACACATTACGGCTGTACAAAATGACACACTTTGTCCCTTATCGTGCTTAAAAACGACTACCGWGACCGAGTATACTGTCGAATGATGTTGAGTCATTTTTATTAGCCTGAATCACGATAATATATAGATATAGTATACAAATCATATTATATTATATTTGTTATTTATACATTTACGTACACCAAGGTAATATTTAACCTACTATTTAACTAATGCCGTATAGCCTATTTAAGTACTACTATTARATATTTTTGGTATACCTACATACTTAATTTATATTCATATTATAGTCGTATGGCATAAATATCTTTAATCGTGGTCTGGACTTTGAAGCGRTCCTTCGAACCGCCAAACAACCTATAGATATGTGAAATTTATCATTTAATTAATTGTATTTTACATGCGTGATGTACTGATATGTATATTGGGTACATAATATAATATATATATAATATTTTATGTACATGATTTATATAGACTACCTAATCGAAGTCCATAACAATGATGATATTCTGCGCGTAGGTACAAATTATATATAAATATATAATATAAGTTATATATCACATAATAATTGAAATCTATTTTGTGCCTATTATTTTAATGATATTACATTATAATTTATAGCTGAGCCATCCGCGTTTATCGTCGACGAAAAAAAAGAKATATTTATTTTTTGTTTATTTCAGCCTGTCGGCTACTTTTGGCAGRCTTCAAACTGGCGTAGGCTCAGACAACTCAGTGTGGTCTTTGTTGTACACCACCGTTCCAGGTCCCGTGAATCGTGATTGGTAAATTGAAACGAAAAAAACATACTACGTTTCCCCCTTCGGCCTTCACCACTTCACCATCGACGGAAGTAGTCTGCAGATGCGCAATATATAATAAAAACCAAACGCACGTAGGCACGTTGCAGCTGCTGCACCCGCGATGTTCTCTAACTAATTGGACCGACGAAAAAGGCGGATCCATTTTCCTCCAAAAATGAAATACTTATACCGTTATCCTCTACAAGAACTATATGGACTAAAATTTATTAGATACGTTTCTCTCGAAACATTAAACTATTAAACCATTTCAACCTTTTATGAAATCAAACAAAATTGCTTACCAGATRTCCATTTATTTTTCAATTTTTTCTTTAACCTCCTAGGTATGAGTTGAGAATAATAGCACAAAAAAAAAAAAATCAACGAAGATATTTTGTTTCTAAGTTATTGCCTTCTGCAAAAGTTCGCGATTTTAAAGATATGATTTTGTAAAATATCACATAATGACATGTAGGTCGTTTATATATAATATTCACATAGACACATAATATGTAATTACTAATTACTAAATAATAAATATAAATATAATATAATTATATACAGCCGTATTGTGTGTGTAACTACTAGCTACCTACCTACTGGCTACTATAATACTGTACGTCTGTACATATAGATACTAGTCACCTGTAAATTTTATATAAAAATCGAATATCTGGATTACCTATACAAACGTTTAATATCTCGAAATATTAAAAAATAATATTATGATATCGTGTTAGAAATTAAACATAATAAATTAAAAAAGATTAAAAACTGCACCAAACAGTGGCACAACCCGCAAAACCGAAATAGACAACAAAAAGTCACTCTAACTAAAGYGAGAATTGGACATTCTTTTTTGATACAAACTTCACACATTCTTAATTAGCAAAGACCCATCGGCCATCACCCAGTTGCAATGAATGCTAAGAAGATTTAACCATTAACCCAGAATTTCAAAACATATTTAATATATATTATCGATACCAGATAACGTCATAAATCATAATATGAAATGTTAAAATATATACAACACCGAATAACAGAATAGACGTTGCATAAAAATATTAAATAATAGTATTTATAATGACAACTTTATAGCCATATAGATAAGTGGCACCTACTTCGTATAGTTATAGTATATATATTATATATTATATTATATGTATATTATATTATATTATTGTTCTGTGGTTATAGGTACAGTTGATATTTGAAGAATGATTAAGATTTTCCTGAAAAAGCTGTAAAAAAAAAAAACTGATTCTGCCATTATTTCTTAGTTATCATTATTATTATATATTGTTTTGTGTGATTATTTTGAATTCTAATTGGAGGWAAATATAGACTTGGTTGGTCGTGTTGGTGTTATATTTTGTATTGATGTATAAATGAACTACGAAGTACGTTTAATATAGGAGTATGTATTAATCTACTGAATGTTTTAAATGATTGATGTGTAGGTACACGAACAATACAAAAAAACTTATAGGTAAGCGGGTAACGCCCTGCTGTACCTACAATCTGCAATCTACATTATAGGTGTAGCGAGTCTATATAGAGGTCACTTTAATGGAAATGTCAATTTTGAATTCAATGATATAAAATCATTGTATATATTTGTATACAAAAACGATTCTGAGCGAAGATAGTCTATCAGCCTATAATATTACCGAATGTGGGGAAAAAAAGCCGTGGGGAAAATAAGCCACRGAAAAAAAGCCAAATTACAATAATTAAATATATAACAATTAAAATTCAAGTATTAAATTAGGTGGTATTATTTAAAAATGTTTACACATTATTAGTCATATTGTATACATATATATATATATATATAATTATTAATACTCAGGTTACCTATATGTTATTATTTATTATTCTAAACAGCAATGAATGTATTGATTTTATTAAACAAAAAGTTTAGATTAAAAATTTATAAAAATTAATTTATTTCAAGATAGCATGTATTTCATACTACAACATGTACATTTAAAAAAAAATCACCCTGTACAAAGTATATACATAATATTTATACATATCTAAGATGTAAGACATAAATCAATTGATTTCAACATAATATCCACARAATATTATATTATTTTTATTCAATGTTTATTATAATATTAACAATTTTATTTTTATGTATGAATGCGGACAATACTGTATGATTAACGTGTTAAAAATTTTAAATTAATTAACATATAACTTGTGTATTAATAATTTTATATACCTATGTATATTGTATAATGTATACAAATTTTGAATAATACTTTAAATTTTATTTTTTTGTATATTTAATTATAATTATTTGTTAAATATTTGACCAATAATGTGTAAACAATTTTTAAATAATACCTAATTTATACTTTAATTTTAATGGTTATAGGTAGGTATATTACTTATTGTAATTTTACTTTTTTTTCCGTGGCTTATTTTTCCCATGGMTTTTTTTTCTGTTGATTATTTTTCCCTGGTTTTTTTTTTCTGACTATCAATATTACCATATTATATTTGATGATGTTATTTCGACTAAAGTAATTTATTTTACAATATTATAGGCATTATAGTACCTATTACAGTAGGTTAAATTAATATTTGCCGATAAAGTTGTACTTGAAAATGGCATTGCGTAGTAGGTATTATACTATTATAGTATTATACAATACCAATTATATTATGTATTATATGATATACATTATAAATTTTAACGTAAAATGTCTATGCAAAATTGTATACATGTTACATGTATATTTTCAGATTTTCTGACTATAATATAAACTAATGTGGAACCTTGTTTTAATTTGTCAAAACTTAGTTACAATTGATCATTTTATAAATTATTAGCTATAAAATAATTTGTAAATTTTCAAATTTTGTCAAAATTCTGATCTAAGACGATCATAAAAASATTATTGTGTATTTAGGTACTARACTTTTTTTAAATTTCCACTAGAAACAGTGGCGTAGCCAGGATTTCTACAAGGGAGGGAGGCAAAAAAATTAAATAAACAACATTCAAATAACAGTGTTTTTAATTTTCCAAATATT